AGCAACTGTTGGATTGGGATCAACAACTGAAGAATGAGGAGGTTATCAAGAAGTGCTTAGGAATACCAGTCAACCACAACTGTGAAGACATTTTGAATGACTACTGGGTATGGCAAAAGAACCCTGAAGACCTGCATATGGAATACCTGGCCAATACACCAGTTTCAGACTGTGAAGCAGATGATGAAGACACTGCAGTCTTCAAGCCAGTCTTCTCAAAAGTCACAGAAGACCAAGTGGCTCTTACTTCTGTGGAAGCAGCAGTTGAGGATTTCCAAACATTTCCGGAAACCTCACCTGCCTTCGAAACGGAAACCTCACCTGCATTTCAGGTAACTTCTCATGCTTCTGAAATGGTTCTAACTGAAGTTGTTCAAGAGAAGGCAACTTCTCCCCCACAAGAACAGAACCAGGAAACAGCAGCAGAAGAAGAAATTCAGCAACTAATCCAATCTCAAGTTTTAGAGACTCTCACAACTCCTGGTGAGATCTCCAATTATACAGAAACTGAGATCCCGGAGAAGTCAGCAAAAATTCCAGAACAGTCAGCTCTTCCAGAAACAATAGAGCAAGCTGTTGAAGTGCAAAGGAACTCTGGAGAAGCTGAAAAGGAAACTCAAATGGCAGAAGTGGAGGTTTGTCAAACTCCAGTAACCATTTTTGAAGACCAGAATACAGATGAAGAAAGAGACTCCCTTTCTAGGGATATATCAAACTTTGCGCTTGATGAAGCAGAAGGTGAATCTGAAAGAACACTGAAGGTCATTGATGAAGAAGATGTACAAGAAGATGCTGAATCTCTTCCTATGCAACTCTTCCAAAGGACACAATCTTCTCATCAGGTAACCAACTTTCATTTTCATAGCTCTTCCACTCATACCCTTCCGGATGAGATACCGGAAATCTGGACAAAGAAGGTCCAAGGGCTGATTGAATCAGCCCTACCATCTCAACATGCCTCCTTTAGGCAAGAGATAGAGCAAATGGAAGCCAAGAACACTCAACTGCTAGAGAAATCAGAAAAGAAACACAGCGCAGATCTAAAGGAGATAGGTACATCAGTATACAAGACTCTAGAGATCATCTCTCTATTGAGTAACACTGTGAGCAACACTATGGAAATATATGCCTCTGATAGTCAACTTCAATTCAAAGAATTCAACAAAATCAAAGAGCAGATAGCGAGTGTCACAGTTGGTCTACAAAAACAGATGTCTCTTCTCCAAATGGACATCAGATCAGTCATAGCAGTAGGTTCTGCAAATCAGGCAGTGACCAAAGACTACTTGAAGGTGATCATTGACAATCAAAAGGAAGCATACAAGCTGTTCAGACTTATTGGTGCACATTTTGGGAACCGCAAGATGGAAGTAATTCTCCAACAACACAGTCCATCTCCAATACCGCAGCTCCCTATTGCAGTCAAAGAAGGAGAAGCATCTTATATCCCTTCTCATCTGAACATGACCAATCTAATTCTTGAAGCACAGCAAAGAAATCCGGAAAACTCAGCACAACACCTATCCAGCTCAGGACTTGATAGAACAGAATTTATAGGTGCAGTTGTTGACCACTTCTCAGATGCTGCTCAATCGGAGGAAAGGCGTGAAAATTTAAGGCGCATCAAAGAACTGTGTGGGAACATGCAGGGCATCAGTGAGATTGCCGGATCTTCAAAACGCAAAAGGAACTGAAGGTTCTTTTCATCAAACCAGGGGGAAAGTATGTGAAAACACTAATTTGCTTTGATGAAAACACCTTCTTGTTTAAACATTGCTTAATTGGTTTAAACATTGCAACATTGCTTCAACAATTGTCTTAATTGCGCTTATTATGCTTATCTCAAGTATGATTCTGTCTTAATTTTTTCTGAAGCGCATACATTCAGGGGGAATATAATTCAGGGGGAACTTAACTAGTTTTGGCTAACAATT